CGTCCAGCGTAACAGGTCACGTACGTGCCTTACCTATGAATGCAGAACTATGATAAATATTTGAATACTCCTGCTGAGTTAACTGTGTGTGTCACCCCATCTGTATGGGACGTCGATGTTTACACCCGTAACGTCATACAGGAAGAAGGCCACACAAGGCGTTTCGTTCTTTTTCAAACTTACTTCTGCGGTCCCGTGGCGGTGGCGGTGTGGTCAGTACCTCTAGGAGTGCCTCCCTTCCTTTCCTTGATTTTTGTGGTGAATACTATATCTTCCTTTCTCTCTTCGACCGCGAGTCGATATGGTGCATACACGATTTAATTGAAATAATTGTCCACATTTGTTTGGGCATGTGCATACTGTAGAGCAAAGATTCCACTTCAAGTGATCGCGTCCAGATTCGAAGTCACGTTCTCAAACGTCGGCGGATTGCAAGGATGACAACTGAACCCTGGGGCGACCAGCATATTTCAATGGCGGTGACTAAAGGCCTTGAACAACGGGCCTGTTGGCCCCAAAAATTGTGGGCGGGCTAAGAAAACAATTCTCCCACGCGTGGCATGAAAGCAACATTGAACACTGTGCCACTTGAAACACCACCAAAGCACGGGTAACCCTACGGGCACCGCTGCCACTATAACCAGTACCACCACAATCAACGAAACACATTGGCCTGCGAGGCTAAAACTTCGGCTCGAACGTCATCCCAGGTTTGCGGGGGAGGCAAATGAAGACAGAGCTTTGTGATACAAATGTTCGTGGTGCAAGGGTTTCGGCGGCTCTCCCCGCCACGCTTAGCGAAGCGATTTCAAGATACACGTTTTGCTCTAGGAAGGCATCTGGTGCGAATAACTTATGAAAGATTCAGTGATAGCTTTAAAATGATGTGTATGTGGGCACAGGGAGACAATATCTTCCACGACAAGGCGCGTGTAGAGACGACGGGTTGTGTAGCGCGAGGAACTTTCTTCCAGCTAAGAGCTTGGCATGTGCGCGAACGCCAGAATTTGACAATATGTGTATGACGGTGTCCCCTTGGGCCAGACAGGATAAGTAAGTCAAGTCGGAAAGATGTTGAGCTCGTGGCGTGGCAGCATAAATTCCCCGACACATGTGAAACGATAGTATTTCTTGCTTGGAGAACAACCATATCCCATAAGTATAACTATTTTTCCTACCGTTAGCGCCGGCACATACTTAGGAACCTCTAGCCGATGCCGGGGTTCTTACGTAGTCCCTAGGGCTAGGCTACAATGGCCGCTAGATTCGGGGTTCTTCGGGCTCGCAAATGGTGTTCAAGTTCTCATGTTGTAATAAAATGATACGCATGAAGACGGCCATGGCCTTAAGTGAGGGCGCTAACTTAACCGAAGGAGGTTGCCAAGCAAGACAAAACGTCGACGTCGAAGACTGAGATAGACTTACAGCCGACATCAATCGAGACGATTTCTTGCCTATCCGCCGCGTGGAGAAAGTCAACACACAGAAATGACAAACCGGCATTCCGCGCGAAAGATTCCAAATATCAATACGGTACGTAGATTTTAGAGAAAGAACCTATCAGCTGAAAACAACAACCTGACCTTGATTTCACTCACACTAAACACGAGCCATCAACGTACTACACACGGAGGCCGCACACGCTTAAAGACGTGGGTATTTTCCCTCACTGCTTGTAAAATCAATGGCACGCCTCTAGCCAACCTATCAGCCCGCGGGAAAATCTACTATATGCTATTTCGCGCAATTATCCTCCCTGACAGTCATTCCGTCCCCGAAAAACAATCATGTCGAGTCAAGAGTCAAAAGGGTGACTGCGGACCTCATTGCATGCATGGTTGGCTGCGAACGAGAACATGGAAATCTTCGTTGAGAAGAAACTGAATGAAACGGCATGTGTAAGGTAGAGGCGGTACACTCCATCTGACGAACGATGATGGCGCAGCGTTGTTACCCAGAATACTTTCATGGATGGGATAAAGTGGGAGCCTTGTACACGCTTGATAATGTGCTTCCGTGACTACGCATCTCGAGCGCGCTGTTGACTTCGGACCAAGTATTGTCCGAGAGACTATATGTTGAGCGCGCATACTGAGGACTGTGTTATTGTAGGCACGGTAATCGTCAGCCATAGAACGGGGGCAAAAAAATTGTGCCTTGGGATGCGAGTGAGACAGGGGGGGCACCAGCCCTAGCGGGTGATTGGCACCTGGATGGTCATTAGTCGTGGTGACTGGTGTGGTAATTAATCCCCCGCACGAGCGGGTTTGCGTATAAATACACATCAAGTCCGTGGAGCCTCCATCTGGCGCGCGCGGATGATTACGGACTTATCTGTGTACGAATGGTTGACTCGAAGGATGTCACCGAGCGACTACGTACAACAGCAGCAGTAATAGAGAGAATATATATAAATAGAGAGAGAGAATGGGGCACTGCACAGAACATGGATGCTGGCTATATACTCATATGGGGTCGAAAGCAAGGGTCTCTTCTTGAGGAAATCTTGCCCTCGCGAATGATGCAGCTGGTTGATTACCGAGCAGGATCTCAGCGAGCGACTGACTGTGCATCTCACTTGCGCACGGGGATGACTGCAATGTGGTTGGTTCGATGGGAACAAAAAAGAGTGTGCGAGGTGCAACCGAAAGCAGTGAGTGCAGCGGTTGAACGGTCACAGTGGACCGTCGAATACATTTTAAATTAAGTGATTGTGGCCTGCCGTGTGCAGAGAGAAGAAATCCGCCAGTCTAAATCCAAGTGAAACATGCTGCTGTCCTGTGGTGGGCCCAGAGGAATAAATTTGCTGCATCCTCTGAGAAAACGATAAAATGGATCAATGTTATACTGTTCGTGTATGCCACACTCTAGAGGACAAACCAAAAAAGCACAATCAGCAACGCAACCCAACTTCGACGTTTTTTTACCTGCATGCTGCTTGTCCAGCCACTTTTTTGGGTTCAGGTCCAGCAGCCGGCAGCTTCACGCGAGTCGGGGCACTCCTGCCCGAATCCTCAATTTGTTGCAGCAAAGCAGTATCAACGTCCTCCAAAACGATCTGATTCCCTCTTCCTATCGCTTTCCTTGCCTGTGTGGCTCGTCATTCCAAGTTTTTCATGGCTGAATGACGTGGAAGGCATGCTCCAGCCAAAGCGAAAAGGAGACCTACAGCGCGGCAACTGGTGCATATACGATGCGGCCCTACTGAGCCGACGCCGCCATATGCAGCAGCATTAGAAGTCACGGGGTGAAAAATGTAGGAGCCATAAAATTGTACCCGTGTGCATTTTCTGGGGCATTAAGCAATGTTTTGGTAGGGAGTAGGGGGGCCTGCCACAACCAGCTCCCTGGAGGAATGAAATGTGCGGGGTTTTCTGCATGTGCATGTACTGCGGTAGGTTTCCGGCTGATTGTTAAATATATTCGGCAAGAAGAAGTACGACCCTAATAATAGCCAACCTTTTTTTCGACGTGCAGCATGTTTTATCCGTGCGCAACTCAGTGCGCAACTGAGTTTTCGACTACATACATGGTCCAGCAGAAGGTGGTGTCCCAATACTGCGTACAAACTGCCGTGGTCGGGGTGGAAAGCCCTGTAGTTCAGCGCATTCATTCGTTGAAAGAAATGGATCTACCGCTGGATCAGCGATCCTGTTTGATCATTACCACGCACACACACCTTTCGCTGCGCACCAGTGAAGCACTTGAGAGTGCTTGAGAGAATACTTTCCCACGATAACATCCATCATCGTCAGCGTATTATCCCCCGTGCCTCAGGTCTTTCCGGCCCTCAGCCACGTATTCGGTGCTACCTGTTGCCATGTAGCTACACGGCGCGTTATCACCTGAAGGAGGATGGATTGATATAATCTACAACAAGTGCCTGCCTCTCTGGTCTCCACTGATGGGACTGCGCAATGGCAGCGTAATCGGAAAGCATTGCCATCCTCGTAGAAGCCTAACCTCAACCTTATCTTGCGTATGTCAACATGTATCTTACAAACGGCCAGGGCGTGGTCCCTCCGCGTGGTGCCGAACCGCAACGTAAACCAGTTCGGATTGAGCGCACCTCGGAGCGCACGAGCGCACTCACTCATTTTCTGATTTACGTTTGGTCAGCATCCCAGCAGCGCTAACGCACCTGCGTGTATGGTCTCGTATCCGTGCTCGACCCTCCCTCTGCGGAAAGCTGCACACTCGAGGCCTCATGATCGTGTATGACAATGGGTGGCGTGTTGTCTGCAACTAGTCGGAGCAATATCGATCATGACGACGAGGATATTTGGGATGCGCAACACGATATCCTTACCGCCAAGCTAGGTTTTTTCAGGTGATCCATCGACTAGCGCAGTCAGTCGGCATTCTACTTCTGTTTGGCAACCTAACCTCGAGTAGCAGCACTATGTGCTGATGTTGTTCGCATGATTGTTTCATGTCAGCTATAGCGGATATGCTGTAGAATATGCATAGACTACTGCTGTACATCCAGGTCACAACCGGGGTTCGCATCCCTCTTTACCGCTTGAGGCGTCTTTCCTGGAAAGAGAAAAGAAGTCTGGGATACACACCTGAAACTCATGTGTACATCCCAATCGTCCGAGTGAAGACCCATATTCCCGCCTGTAAGCCGATGAACCGCATGGAGCAGCGCTGATTACAGGGGTTACAATCCTGGGTCCAACAACTCCAAACGAGCATCCATTATGTGGCGTATGTTGTGGATATACTATACATCTGACCATTTTGATGAGAATTAGAAAGGCTGATGCCGCAAGCGCTGGGGCACGGTTCGCTTCCAGGGTGCAGAGCACGACGAGTCCCACCGGCAAGACGTTCAGATGTACCATTTACCCATCTTCGCTTTGATTACAAATAGATGTAACAAATAACGGATCCAAATGGCACTTATGTTTCGCAGGGATTGGCGGGCCGAGGATGTTGAAGTTGTGCTGAATCGCTTCCGCAATCGTATCAGACCGAGCGACGATCCGAGTGATTCGATGCCTGGCGAAGCCTCGGCGGTGAGCGGTTTCGACGTGCAACGCTCCGTTGGTGAACGCATGTGTCGGAGGCAACCTCTGTAGTTGTTGCCCCCCAATCTACCATACTTAGTCATTTTTCATTATCGTGTCACGCAGACTCGCGGCGAACACGCCGATGGACAGATCGACTTGGCAGAGGTACAGCTAGAATGGCACGAGCTTTTTCGCGCCGTCCTCGATGCTGACGAAGAAAGAGAACATTCCACGAGGTGGGCGAGATTTCTAATATCTAGCTGCCCAGCCGATCAACGTATGCCTGTTGATGTATGAACCCTGCTGCTACTCTCTGATACGGTATGCACTACTGATTCGCTTGACCACCTTCAACAAATCTGTATACAACACTCTGTACTTGGAGTTCGTACGCATTGAAATTGGAGCAAAGTGCCCTTGTTTCAGCATGTATGCTGAGGGTACTTGTATGACCTTGCCTCTTTGTCACATAGAGGCAAGCCTGGTAGCAGCGCAAAAAATTGTGATGCGAATGAATGATGAGCTCTAGTTTTGATACCTCTGCTGTATGTGTGACCTCACGCCTCAGCAGCTATTTGTGGCGATAGATGGGCATAGTGCCTCTTAGTGACATGATCACCTGTAGGTCGCCTGTGACACCTCCCCCGAAAAATTACACGGTACACGATTACAGCACTCTCTCAAGAAACGTACCCTGAATATTTATTTAGTTAAATGTTGAACTGTAGGAGTTTTGCGAAATAATATCGTGAGATGTCATTCCTTAGAGCCATAATATTTGCCGCCCAGGGTATCTTTCTCCGCAAGAAACAGCCGGAAAGCTCCCTACAAGAAGCAGTCAACTCCCTACAGAAGCAATCAATAAGAACAAAAACTGCGCAGAAGAACCCGGAGATGGTAGATCCTGTTGCTCCAACCTGGTGTTCAGGCACAATATATTCCATATTTCTCTTTCCACCATGACAAACACATGACAGGGAAAAGCGGCAGTGGCACGTTGCTGCCAGAGGATACGCAATGGTTAAACATGGCGCATTGACGGCAGTTCAACACAATCCACCATCCTCCGAAGAAGTGAATGCCGGAGCAAGTATCCCTGGTTATACGGATGATGAAGCCAGTGACGAGGAGGTGGGCCAGGCCCGGGGTATGTCCAACGACGGAAGCTCGGGCAGAGCACCGGGAAACGAACCAACGGCACGCCGGGCAACTAGGCAAGATTACTTTCCCGGTACTCTGTTTGGCATGCATGGTTGTCCCTTGAGACGTAGACGTGACACATGGCATAAGTGAGAGGTGCAAGTACCTTTTTTGGGTAAGTTAGCCTGTGACCACGGGAGTCGACCGCGTCAAGTGTTAGACTAGTACGGACAGAAGAAGGTACTGGGTAGAGAGAACGGAACGGTTTTTAATGTGAAGACAACAACAACAACAACAACAACAAAGACTAGTGGGGCGCCGCGCACCCCGTGCTAGCGGATTTGTACAAAGCGTTCCCGCTCGAATGCCCCGGAGAAGCATACAGCTCAATGGATAACCTGGAATCTGCTGCCGTGATGTGTGACACTTGCCTGCGTTGTCTTGGTCGTTCAGGAACCTGGGTGGCGCAATTTCACAGCACGATACAGAGGTCACCTTTGGATGCGATGCTGCCGTCGTCAGTCCGGTTTTCTTCGGGTATATGTCCACAACAGAAGCAGATGTGGATGCAGAAAACGCAAAGGTAAGAAGGTAGCGCGTAGCTATGTTAGATTGGTGTGGATACACAATACCTTCTCGGGACGTGCTCTTTTGCCGCACATGCGCACTCGAGCACGCGGCCGTTGTCTCTCGTGCCATCGTGCGCTAAGCCGGGCTGTGACACAGCAGTGACATCTGGACAAGTCAACGAGCTGTCGGGTAGCTAGCGGAATGACTTAGAAATGATGTGTGTGCCTGACATCAACGAGTGTGTGTTGGGATGTCGCTTTCAGCGCACACGGTGTTTTGTGCTGGGAAATGAGAAAACTGTATGCCTGTACTGCACCACTGCTGTATGGCAGGAACGAGCATCGCTTGACCGCGAGGAAGCTCGCGTCATTGAAAAGCAAAGGGTGGGGCGAAACCTGCAGCTTGCTCGAGAAAGGGAGGCAGCTTCGAAAAGGAGAGAAGCTCGTGAAAGAACGGTGAAGTTCTTGCAGGTCGACGTCCACAATTGCATGAGATTTATTCTGGTTGAGGAATCTGGATGCACTTTCTGCCACCTTCCCGATCAAGTGTTCGAGTGCTCGTCCTTCCTTACATGACAATATCCTTTCTTTCACATATCAGTGAGTGGCACACGGAGACACTCCCCAGTTTCCTGTGTACAGGTGGTGACTATGGAGGCTGAGTTCGAACGAGGGCGACAGAAGCGGATCACGGAGCTACAGACGGCGAAAAAGGTGATGGCCATGCGCGACACACATTTACCGTCTGTACATGACTATCTAAACACACAGCGACTGCCATGAGGACCTCGTTCAATAGATGTCTTGAGTCTCGGTGCGACAAGGGTCTCCGTGTTCCCAACGTCAGGAAGGAGCAAGCGGTTGTCTTGAAGTCTTTTTTGTTCGACAATATGAACTGTGCACGGCCTCTTGTATGGGTGTATGATTGCGATGATACTGTCAAGGTGATGGCAGCCGACGAATACGGCCCTGTGTTGAAGCAGTGGAACATCGATGAGGCATCAATAACGAAGGCGCATGAGTCGGAGCTCGCTGAACGGAAGTACAAGTAAGTGAGCGTTGGTTTGCTTCAACCGCGTTTCGAATATCGAGCATGTTTTTAGCTAGGAGATCACAGCGAAGTATGGCCTGCACTTGCGGTGAGTTTCCACAAGTGGACAGCATCCAATATGTCCATTCCGTCTCGTGCTGCTTACGTTGCCGTGACAGATTTGCATTCCTGAATAGGGAAGACTCCAAGAACATCCAGCATGCAGCGAACGCCGCCAAATACGCCGAAAAGACAGAGACGTCAAAGATCCCGAAGGGAGCACAGGTTAGACGTTGATGCCCACAGAAACTAAAATCATTTCGTCGTTCATTTAGATGGCCAAGTGATTTATGATCGCCGTGTGTGAACTGGCCTTGGCGCTTCTTCTCGGCTAGTTGCTGCTCTACGTTGTTATTTTCCCTGCACAGCACTGACGCTGATACAGTTCAGCTCAATGGTGAATGGAGTTCTCGCTTTCGTACTCAGTTTGCCAGCTTCAATCGACCGCACATCCGAGTGTGTGCCAGAAACCTATTAATATTAGCACACGTTTTACATGCCGGTAAGGACACCATCATACACAATCAATGGACTCAACTTGGCTATGCATGTGAGGTAGGCGCAGTAGAGGTAGAAAGCCTAGCAATAGGAATATTCATGGGTAGTTGCTTCTGCAGGACATCGCGGCCACTTTAGCACAAAAGAGTATCATGATCTAGACTGACCACACTCTGCACCTACATCGTGCAGCATACACTTTCATTTATTGAGGTGCTCACAATCATTTCCTCCCTTTTAATTTTTGGTCATGTAGCTCGAGGCTCTGGCTCGAGGAGAAGTCGAGCGTTTGGTTGGAGAGATTGACGCGGCGAATGAGGCCGTGAAACTGGCCCAAGATGAGTTGCTTGCGGCACAGGTGATGAAACAGATCAGTATCAGTATTGTCTAGGACCCGCTGGGGCCAGACCCTGCGCGGACCCTCTGTGCGACTATTATAGCAATCTGTCGGCGAGGATTTCCCCTCTCTTGTTTTCTGGGGGTCCTTATCCGTGGTGCACTGAACTGACTTGTACTCTCGAACACCACTCAAGGCAAACGAGCTGTTCAGATTTGAGTGCCTCTCCACTGATGTCTTGTGTTCGCTGGCTTGCGCAGAATCTTCGTGGGAAAAAACATGAAGCCAGAGCACGGCAAGTCGTGGAGACTAGCCTCATACTGCTGGAGGGTAGAGCGACTGCCAGCGAAAAAGATTTGGACTCACTTCTGGAACAACTGCAAGAGGTGAGTGGAACATCGCTGCGCTTTTGGCGGTCTTGCAGTATTCGCCTGTGCAATAATTCAATAACGATACGCGATTGTTGTTGCTGCTCCGGCGACAGGCCGAGTTCATGCTCAACCGAGCGGAGCGAATACGCTCTCAGGAGGATCTAGTGCTGCCGCTGTACGAGCCTCTTGCGCAACGGGCGGCAGAAGGCGATTTCCGTGCTCCATTCTTGAGTGTTTTCTGCGGTCTTACGGTGGCCTCAAACGACAACATGTGGGAAAAGCTGACGTTCATCACCCACCTCTTCGATATCAATGATAGCAAGGTCAGGCATAATATCTATGATTGAAGATGTATTCTTTACGTAAAGTATTGTGTGTCCCCTTTCTCGTGCCGATACGAGCGGGGCGCTTTTAAGCAAGGCCTACCTCTCAGTTTCGAGGGTCCAACACGTGTGTTGTGTAGCATCACCATCCACCTCACATCGACATTTGGTCATCTGATACTGCCATCGTCTTTGCTTCACTCTCTACTTCCAATTTCTCTCGTTGGCCTACTTGTGCTCAGTTCATGGACTACGAAGAGATCTGTGTAATGCTAGCTACACTAGCCAGTGTTTTGAACAGCCTCAAGCTGCTGAGGGAAACAACATCCCGGGAAGAGCTGGAATCAATCGTGACAAGAGCTTTTCTGGAGGGAAACCTGGACCATCGGAAGGGCATGACCAACTACGAGGTGATGGACTGGTTTCAGGCAGAGATAGATGAGCACGTCCTCCTAGAGGTTGTGGTTGGGTGGCCTTCTTCGTGTGCTCCTTCCTCTTGACTGCATGTGGCACCCTGTTGGTTTTCCGGTTACACACTGACGGTGTATATGAGGTGCATGACCAGACTTGGACGTGTACACTCGCCCTACAGGTGAAAACCTGGATGGCAGGGATAATCGCACGTTCACCCAAACTGTCCGACATTTTCGGGTCGAGTTGGAGTTTCGGGCAAATGAGCACCGTAATGCGATGCAAGATGAGCATGGTGCACGAGTTCGAGCTCAGCATGATAAGCATGGTAGACCTAAAGCACAAGGTGAGGGATCAACCAAAGCCCATCGTAGTGGAGTGTCGGTGCTCATTAGTGTTTGGAGCTCTCCTCGCTCTCCGAACCCAGCTATCCCCGTCCACGTGTGAGGTGAGGTTCCTAGGTGTAAATACGTTGTTGTATTCTACATCAGGGTCATTGACCCTATCGATTCCGCCAACTGTTGCCTGTCTCTTTCTGCAGGTGGCACGCAAGCTGATAAAGCATCGACCGTGCCTGCAAAAGGAAAACGTTCAAGTTATGCACGATCGTGCATTGGCCATGGGCGACGACGATCCCCTGAAACCAGACTACTCGCGCTTTTTGCATTCAGATAAGAAGAAGTCATTCTCGAATGCCGTTTCCCTTTCCCACGGACACCTTGAGAACCTCTCCCATTGGCGAGACACCGTTCGAATCAAAGCGGTCACCAAGATACAGAACTTGTTCCGTGGGAAGCAAGCGCGGCAAGCAGCAGAGAGGATGGCCAAGAAGCAAGCCTTTCTTTGCGCCCGAGCGATGGCGGTAGAGGATACTCGCCAACGCATCGCGGCCGAAATTTGGAAGGTAAATCTTACTTCAATCCTGCACCATTTGATCATCTCCCTCTATGCTACCCACCTCTTGTTTTTTATTCGATACTGTCCTCAATCACTCCCTCTCCCTGGTGAATGAACTGTATGCACCGTAGCGAGAAGCGGCATCGGGTGTCGGGCGACTTAAATGGGATGCCAAGGTACGCATGAAACAAGCCAAGCTTCGAGCGGCAGGGGAGAACGTGGACCGCCAACAAGTTGTCGAAGCAATAATCGAGGAAAGCGTCCAAGCAGCGCAAGACGGAGTTATGGAACGTTTCGACGAGATCGCACGGGATCGTGGATTTGATGAGGACGTTGTCGGTGAGATCGATTTACGAGACAATGTAATGGGCCGATTTGTCCTTGGTTTCACAGTTTCAAAGTGAGCACAGGTTGTGTTTGCACCCGTAGACGCGCTATATATACTGCACAAGACTGCGCGAGTACTGGTGGGATTCCCGAAGGCACTGCTGTCTCGATAGATAGTCAGTGATAGTGTTTCCGCCGGTAATATTCCGCTGGACTTGTTCCCAAAACCAACCACTTGTCGTTGCAGAACACACCGCAGAGCAAACATCAGAAACTGATGGCGAAGAAGACTTTTTTTCGTTGGCGACTGCTTCACGGCAAGTGTCGGTACGCACCAAGGCTGCCTGCAAGGAGCTGGCCACTCACCTGCTCATGGTGAGAATTCCTGCTCAACGTAACGCCTCTCCATTGAATCTCATGTCTTCAGCGCTGCAGAAGCAGAGGACGTGCTAGATAGCGTGGACACGACTTTTTTGTGGCCACTGATGAATCGATTGGACGATCACTAAGGTTAGGCTAGTTGACTGTCGAGAATCCAGTGTCCTGCTGGTGTTTTATGTACCCTTACGACCATGGCGGGGGGGGAGACGGCCGCGGCATATTTTGACATCGAAATTTAAACACCGTCGACCCCACAATCTATTGACGATGTGGAGGAGATGACCATCAACCTACAGCCGTGTTGCATGACCACCCCCACACTTCAATATCTGCGTTTCATGGAGGTTGCTGTTTGCCTGGCTGGTGCTTAACCCGACAGAGAGACCCCATGTGTGGGGGCGCGCGCGTAGATGCACTGTCTAGGATACAGCGTCCTACTTACATCGTGTGAGCCATCGATTTGGTTTGTACAGCCGGTCCCACACCTCCAGGGTGTGGTGGGAATAGGCGGGTCGGTGGGAAATTAACGACGACAGCGACTTTTCACAGCTTCGAAGCGGGGCGAGGGTAGCTTCTGCGGGTCCAGTTGTGCTCCCACTTCCGTACATGCTCCGGGGGCTTCACTTCTCTCTACGCCCGCCCGGCCCTGGTTTTACCCTTGCTGGGCTTTTGTTTTTGTTTCTGAACCTTTCATTTTCACGAGTGGCCAGACAAGCCCCGGTGCTGATTCGTTTCACCTTTTGGATTACTGTAGTTCGTCATGGCGGAGAGTCGTACCTTTGCCTCGAGGAGTGTGGGTGGGAAACGAAGTATCGGGTAGAGGTCAAAATGGAATGAATTGAATGTTCAGAGAACGGCGACAACAACAAAACCAACAGCGTTTTGAACTCACTCTTTGGCGTTCTCATGACAAACTGGGTCTGCAGGCAGATATGCGCGGCATGGCAGGGCAACTTTGGGGGAACGGGGCCAATTCCGTCCCAGATCTCGGCCGGCCCCAAACTCCACGAAAGGAAGGAAAGGAAGGAAGCGGTGCGGTTGACGTCGAGTCAGCCGCGAAAATGTCAATCCTGGGGAATGGGTCAGTTAACGATCCTTTCGTTTTCAGTGGAGGTGGTCAACTCCCACAGAAAACCAATGCCCCATTGGCCGACAGTGCGCTATCATCCGTCGGCGGCTCCCCTTCTGTCAGACAAGGGTTCGAGCTGGACTCGGTCATTGTTAGGGTGGACGGACAGATGGCAAAGATAAAGCTGACGGACGTCCGCAAGCAGCTGATGACCGTGGGGCTATTTCCTCCAGAATTATATGGAGTAGGCGAGACCTTCGAGGAGATGCGCCTGAGGTACCTTCTCGTTCCCGTTAGCAACTTGTTGCGAGTAGCAACAACGTTGTCGTGGCTTGGTTGATGAGATTTGACTTCTGTGGTAGACACATGTCCCGTTTACTACGTGTTGTGTCGCACGATGATGACATCTCTGTTTCTCGGTAGGGAAAAGCTGGCGGATGCTGATCCCGCCGTCGAGGACCTAGCACGGCGTCTCAGGAGCTGGGATGCCGCGATGACTGAAGTCAAAGTAGATGGCCTCCTCGCTGAGTTGCCTGCGAAGCGTTTGCTCATGCAGTATGCTCAAGGATTCGTCGACCGCGCAGATCCTCCGGGCAACTTCCAGGTGCAGTTCGTGGATTCGTGTCTGACCCAGCGCTTTACCGTCGCCGCTCATAGACCCTACCGCCGGCGCGTCCTCTGTCCACAGCTCGTCAATGATGGGCTGATTTCAGGTCCCGGTTTCCATGAAGTCAGTTGGCAACATTCTGACGGGATGTTCGAGTCGAACGTCTTATCAACGGCAAACAGGCATCGCTTTGACGATAGTCTCCAATCTTGATGCGTGAAGGCAGCAAATCTGACATAGCTCGTTTCCCCCCATGTTGGCCTGGCGCCCAGCCACTTTTTGACGACCTCGCCAGGCACTTCCAGATATCCCGGAACGCCAAACAAATAGGGACGATCCTGGTGAACCTGATACGCACCGATTTTTCTTTCGGGTTAGCGGCGGACAGCCTAGATGTTTTGCGAGGCAATCAAGATGCGTTACTCGCAAAGATGGCGCAAATCGAGGTGAACACAATACATCTGATCGTTTGGTTGGTGAAAATACTTCGGTTTATTGTGCAAATACTTCTAGCCTCTTTGCACTTGGCAGAAGTTGCTCTAACTACAATCAGCTGTCAAGGTATGTGCCCCCCTTAACCGCCACAACATCACTTTACGGTTTACGGTTCAAGCTATCAGTCACTCCCTACGTGTGTGCAGGTTGCCGATGGAATGTCTGAAGCAGAAGCAGGCTACGAGCGGCGTCTCACCGCAGCAAAATTGCAGGGCAGGTCCATTGAGGAGGTGGAGCAAACCCACAACCGCAACATGCTCAAAGAAGTCAAGAGAAGAATGCAGGCAAGTATCTTCACTAACATGGGGTCAGTTGAAATGTAAATGAATGTATGCCACCAAAAGTCGAAGGTTAAAAGACCCCCCTCCAAGCCCCTAGAGTGAACGAAAGTAATAGCTCCACCTCCAACCGTTTGTTCGCAGTCGATATCGGAAGCTCAAGCAATAATCGCGAAGAGCAGGAGCCGAATCGACACTGCAGAGCAGGAGCTTGCCGAAATTCGTCGGAGGGAAACTAGCGATCGAGCTCTCAAGCACAGAGCGGGTGGACTCCCCTATACGGCCCAGATACGAGAGGCCCACCGCTATGACTGGACAAGACGCTACAGTGCAGCCATGTCAGCAGACGAAACCTCGGAAGAAGAACTAGAGGTCCGGCTCCGTTAGCTTGGTTCATGAATCACTCATGTCGCACGGGCCTCGCTCAGGCCGCACCTTGTATGTTGGTGTGCACCATTGCATTCCTTCCTCATCAAACGTATGTTCGTACGTCGGTCGCTCATTGCAACATGCTCGTGCCTTGCGAGAGGTCTACTGCTGTAGCGCACTAACTTGTAGCGCGTTGCCCTTGTCCAGGCCGTACACTGAGCAGCTGCTAACGCCGGGAATGCCGATTGTTTTTGTGTCACATCGCCAACAGATCAAGTACCTGGAAGTTGCCAATGTTTGCAGCGACTTCTTGGAGATGGCAAAGCACCTTGCGACAACGATAATCGACGAGCGCAACTTTGAACTGGTCGACAAAACGATTCGCCCCGTGATCGAAAGTGCTTGCAACGGGCGGGGTGTGGAAGGTAACAGAGGTCACGGTGGAAAGCGGTATAAGTATGAAGCGTTCAACATTCGACTCAAGGTTTGCTGCGACGACCACGGTTTGTTCAACGGAGACGACGAGTGTGCAGCCAAAGGATACGGAGGAAGGGGACTATTGGGCGCTCTGGAATATATGAAACAGCATGAACCAGGCGAGACCAACTTTGGATTAATCTATCTATTATGAGCGCCAACCCGAAGCTACACAACACAGCGTAACACTGGATTCCACCTCCAACATACCCCCCTGGCGCGCGTCACGAACACAAGGTCTTTCTTTGTTTGGTACATTGCCGTCAAAGATCAGACTGCACTCCTTTGTCGTTTGTGGTCGTGGAACTGGCAGGCTTGAATATTCCTCTGACGTGCACAGTGGACTACCATGGCTTTCGGGTGCTGGCCGTTGCCAAGGTTCCGATCAATTTACCGATATTCACTAACTCCGGGAAGCTTCGGCGGGCGCATGAAGACATGGTCCATGGCACTGCTGATGCAGGAGATACAATTCGCAATGAAAATCGAGTGTTGAATTCGAAGCTTCAAGCAGTGGCAGAGAAACTTAACCTGAGCTTCCATCTGGTGAAGGTACGGGCAACTTGAGCGAGAGCACGAATCTGTGCATTCCATTCGCCAGATGCGCACGTCCCCATCTTGCAGATAAATAGATGTAAACACCCCTGAGGCGACCCGTAATTTGCTGGTGTTCAGGAAAACAATACTTCGAAGAAGCATATCCACAACCACGCTCCCTACGTGCGATTTCACTGTTTACACTCTTGCACCTCGCAAGGGCGTGCGAGAGCTGAACAGCACAGCACTGTGGGCGACAGCGAACCTCAGGGGATACCGGAAAGACAAGAGTACATTTTACCTGCTCAACTTTTGGCGAGCTTTCCCAGCGGAAGACCCTACAGGCACACCTCATCTGAAACCATCCGCGCGTGGGCAAAGTATAATGTGGAGAGGGCTTCGGCCTGAACTAGTACGGTCAAATCCGGTCCCACTCAGTCCAGATGCGAACCTATTGGTGACGCGTGACGCGCCCGACTGGCGTCAGCAAAGGGACGATGTACTCGAGGCGACAAGGCGACTTGTGAACGAGGTGTGCCCGAGGATAAGAGCTGCCTGGCACTTGAATACGTCTCTCCCTTGTGCCCAGAGCATCGGTAGCGGCCCCCGCATGGAACCAATTTTGGCTATATCCTCGTCGCGTTTTGCTGGAGGAGTTTGTTACGGCTAGAACGGCTCACTGCACTCTTATATTATTTGCTTGTGTGCATCGTCTCGTGTACGGATATGGCGCGAACATCCTAAATGCACAAAAAGCGTGGGTGCTCTGGCTGCCAGGCCGACGTTTCACTGTTTGTACTGTCCTCCTATCTTTTTTCCAAGCAATCCAGGAGGCGTGTTCAGGAACACACACGCCTGCTGTTTGTACCGTTTGTGCCGTGGATTGATGCGTCTATTTGCAGGTTCTGCCCAACTTTGCCGAGGAGTTGAGTCGGAAAGACATTGGGAGTGCTGACGGAGCTTTTGGCTATGGCTTCAACATCACCGCCGATATGCACCGCAGGGGCATCGGGGTTCGCCATATGGGCCTTCTTCGCGATATGTTATGGAGGCCTTTACATGGAAGCGTTGACCTGTCGTTTAACTCAAACCGCATCCGTACCAAAACAGACATGAGGTTGCAACTGCGGAGAGGGGACCAGGTCAGTGCACTGATCGGGTGATGCGTCTGAACGTAAACCTCTAATATTTGCAAGTGAATCGCACTCTCTGCAAGAGCCCAAATAATTCGTCAGGCCTAAGCCCTGTCCTGACGGACATGTAGTACAACCAGCGCTCACTCCATTCGCCCTGAATCCTGTTTGTCCTTGTGGTTTGTGACGCTACCGGTGCTTGCAGGTTCGCATCGATGGTAGCGTTTTCACCGTCAGCGTCAAGCCTAGACACGAGTACTCGGCATCGTGCATCACCCTTGACCGGAAGGTATGCCAGTGTACGTAAGTTTGCAGTTGCTCTACAACAAAAACCAAATCGCGACGCGAGGAGAATTGTAGTGACTCCATTCTTGAACCTCAGACCAGCTTCGGGCCCACCTTTTTTTGTGCACAGGTGGAAATGATGAGTCGTAACAACGTCTCCATCTACAAAGGTACGGTTGGCTCGGACAGGAATTCCTTGGAGATTCGCCGTCTGCTGCTAGCTGAAATGGCGGCGAGGGCGACGAAAAATATGCTCCGGCAATTGCTGCGGACGTCGGCGGCGCAGAGTCACACCACGGCGCATCAAACGCAGGTATTGTATCTCATCCGACCGGGTCACTTCACGGCAATCAATAGTTTCTTATGCTCCGCCAATATACTAATTTCAACGGTGTTGAGCACAACTGCTGAGCGTCCTGTGCACTTCTTCCGCGCGCTAAAATAGGTGTTGCTCACGGTCGAGTCCATGAACATCGTCTCTGGCAGTCATCACCGATCACATAATTTCTGGAGCGAGCGACTCCTGCCAAGCATTCGAAGTAGATTTGGCGAATTGGCGGTTGACCACGCTGAAGAGGGTAATATTCGGCTCCTTCTCCAGCCATGTATTGTCTACATCATCCAACGCCTTCAGGTACGTCCATACCGTGGGCGATCCTACCTGGTACTTCTTGCCACCCTATACCTCCGCGCGTGAGTTTGTCGAAGAAAATTTTCGTTAGAGAATGGGACTGGAAAATAGCGAGACGTGCCGCTGCATTCTAGAACGTTGGACGTTCAGGCAGCTTCCGCTGCCGTTCTTTCATCCCCTTGATCGTCGTGTTGCGGCCCCGATGTGTGCTATGTGTACTCTGGATACTGACTCGAACGCTCATCAACGATGTGCTCGTACCGTCCATACTCCACAGGAAATGCTGGGGTTCGCCTTGTCGACTGCCTGTTCGAATCATTTCTACAGTCGTCCATGCGGGTTCAAGTTCACCACCCTTGACATAACTAACGCGCCCATGAGGTATGTACGTGTAGAGAGGGCGACGTTCTTAATTTTCATCGTTGGCTGTGTTCTCCTGTACCAGAAGACACGTGCAAGTGCAACGGTGCAATGCGTACCAAGAGTCACATCTGGTGGGCTCGTTTCGGTGCGGTGTATCCCATGTAGCGCTGAAGCGATGTGAAGTTTTCCCATCACTCACAGGAATGTGCACACCCCGTTCTTCTGCTATACGCTATCGTGACGCGACGCGACGCAGAATCAAGCACAACGCGCCGATGAAAGAGGTAGCGGAAGCTTCCATGCTCGTGCTACGGGCAAACAAGGCTCGGGCTACCGACTATGTGCAGCTGGTGCAAATGGCACAACCGGAGCTGTACTTGACTCTCGAGGTAGACGTGATGTGCCCCTCTTAAACACTGACCCCAACAGTTGCTGTAAACTACTGTAGAGGTGCAAGTTAAGGCATTCAATCATGACACCATCAGCTGCCACCATTCAATTTTTGCAAGAGGTGTGTGTTTCCCTGTTAACCGTCCTAATCTCACGCCTCTGCTTCACACAACCTGCAGGAGCGCAAGGGCTCGAGGGTGGCTGTCAACCACGGCCAGGGAGGCATAGCCCTTAGCGGATACTATGTTGGTCCCATCAAATTCGAGCGGCCAGGGCCAATCGCAAATGACCCTCTGAACAGGGCCGTGCAGCTGCAGTCAGCGGCGCATTGTCACATTGACACCAAGAACACCGGAAGGCGCCTTGCGCCTATGCAGTCACATCTATCGTTCAGCGTGGAGAGCTGGGCGAAGTGCGAAGGAGGTCTAGATACCACTCGCTACGTTCTTATGACTGGCAGGTGGGTCCAACGTAGGCTTACAATCGACGATCCAACGCTGTTTGAGCCACGCTGCCAAAACGCACGCCCCCGAACGGTGGTCAACTTTCTGCTCTGCCGATGGTTTCTCACCTGTACTGCTATCCACAGGTACTCCCTTTTGGCTACAAGAGACAACTGCTGGGCCGCATCAATTTGCACAGCAGACGGCTCTGAACTCTATGTTCTTGGGCCAAAGGTCGTGCATGGAGAGGTGAGCGAGTAACAAACCTTTGCATATCGCCAGGTTGGAGTAGGCCAACGGATGTACTGACTGCGAATATGCACAGAGTGTGTTTTTGCAAATTGTTGAACATGTCCAGAGCAAGATTTTGTCAAAGCTCTTGTCCCCCCCCCACCGCCATCGAAACGATACATACGCCTGCTCACAAAAATAAACCCCAACTCCCGCCTGTGCCGTGTCCGTTGTAGTGGGTACACCTGGTTGTCATCTACGACGGAGTTATCGTGCGCATGTACGTCAACGCCGAACTCGTGGCCCAGGTATTTCATCTCCTAGTTGCAGGGTTCCGTGGCAAATGAATGCTAGCTCCCACAGAGTTGCGTGCATCAAACCAGTGGTCTGAGGGCAAGAGAGCGAGTTGTTGTGATGGATTGCTGACACTACTACTCCTCGGATTGGATCCTTTGACAGATGGTCGCCAAAGACGTGGCAGGAAATGTGTATGCGTTGATTTTAACTTGATTGTGCGCCCCAACAATGGCTAGTGGTATTGGCTGTTTATGTGTGACGACAACATTTGATTTTACATTGAAAGATCGGTCGAAACGTCTTCGTGAAGTTTTCGATAACCTATGTACCTTGACAGATTCTAGTCAAGATCAGGTGGTAGGCTTGGCCGGTTCATCTTTTCACACGTGACTTTGTCGTGGGAGTGGCCCGTTCACGTAGTGTTGCAGCTTCCTGTTGCGGAGGCGTACATTAACCAAGACTGCAAATATCGTTTTCCCCCCAAAATTCGCCAGATGGAAGTTCATGTGGCCGTGGAACGCGTGAGATCAGAGAAGAAGGCTGAGCAGGACAGGGCCTTGGCAGATATACAGGAGGAGGAAAATCGGGCTCGTGAACGATGCAAAGTGAGCTGCAGGGCGTTGACTCTCCGTGACCCTATGCTGCAAAATATACTAGCTAGAGGTAAGACTCATTTCGATTCCTCACGTTCCACTGTATCATAACTAACAGGTTGTGACAGAGAGGGAGCTTGACGCGTACTGCAAAACTCGCGAAGGAGAGGCCCAGTTAACACGTGCCGCGAATAAGCTTCGTGAAAAGGCGACTCTCGCGTCGCAAATGGACCGCGATGCCGCCAAGAAAGGCGTGGTAAAACTGTCGAAGGCGGACGCAAAGGCACAGGCCCGGCTAGACTTCAAGACCGAGATGTACATGCGAAACGTCCAAAAGGTGAAGACTAGCCACACAACGGAAACAAGGAGGTGTGAATACGGTCGGTGCTAACATATATTTGTACGCAACCACGCCTTTGGTGGTCGTGCGCGGTACATTGGCCACGTAGCCACGTATTCAATCCGACTTCGGTGCTCTTCGTGATGTGCTACAGGTCGCTGAAAAGTATAAACGTAAGCGTGATGATTTCCAAGATTTAGTTGCACAGGAGCTCGAAGAAATATGCGGACGTGCGGAAAAGCCGTTGCGAGTGGGGGCGATGTGCCGATGTAAACGATCGAAGACCGGACGAAATTTCTTCAGCGGGGATCTATGCCACGTGGCCGTGTACCTGTCGGCGTTGCCCGTCGACACGGTTAGAGCCCATCATTTCGCCGGCGTTCAAGCGACCGCGACAGAGAGCGACCGTCTCTACATGCTAGCCGGTGCCAAGTTCCAAGCAGCCCTGGCCTTTGCTCCTGATGACATCGAGATCATATCACGCTACGCCCAAAGCGTGATAAACTACCTTGAGCTGGAGTCAATGCAGGTGATACAACTGGACGAACCAGCGCTCTAAATCGCGAGGAATAGTACTTGTTCGGCGTGTGTTCATTTGGTGTACATGAGTGAATGTATTCTTCCCTGCAACGTCCGCCACACCAACTTTATCGAATCGTGTGCATGCCTACATAACACAGAGAAGAAGGAAAGGATACTCCATGTCAGCTCTTGACCGTCACATGGTATTTTCTGAAATCCCGCATCGACCAATCTGGACTTGCCTTATCTTGCCTCTATAATGTACTCTATGGTATATGTCTTGGTTTTGACGACGTATCGTAATTCTGGCGTGCCCCAGAGCAAAAATCCACGGCGAAGCCAACGCATGGTGGAGGAAGCAGTGGATATGTTTGTGCGGATGGAAAATTGGGATGGGCTTGCCGTCATATTCAGCCGGCTACCTTCAGGTATGTCGATCATTCGCTGTTGTTTGCCGAGGGACTTCCTTCCAATTTTTTCGGCGACAGTGAGCACCCGAACCGTGCATTTCTTCTGAAAATGTTTCTGGGGTAGTGAAGATTCAATAAGCGCTGGCCAAGTGCAGGGGGACACATATTTGCCGGCGAACGTACAACAATTTTATACGTGGCCGGAATGCAGATGTTCTTGTGGTAGAATTTACCCTACAACAGCAGGGAACGAAAACCCCACGAAAAGGTCGACTGAAGGCATACATGCGTTGCTTCAGCATGTGCATAAAGTTTTATCTTTTCTGTGCTTGCTTCATGTTTCTCGGTACTTGGTGCATGCCGGATCCTCCCAACCCGTCGGGTGGGTGGGTGCATTTATAGCTCCGCTGTACGCAGGTTCTTTCTGCCAAGCCTTCCTTGCCACGGTGGCTTCAGTTCCGGGCTACTTCGCTTCGTCACTACACATGCCATTGAAGAATCTGGCGCACATGCCGAAAAAGTTTTACCTGGATATTGCGGGTGCTGACGAGATCATGGTGAGCTTCGAAGTAATTTAGAACTATATTACCAAGAGAGAGGCGAGCAATATTTCTGGTCTTCCATACTCCAGTAAAAATGCCGTTGTCCATGTATGTATCCTGGATTTAAATAGGCTCGATCTTGCGTGGGCAAGCGGAGCGGTGCGGATTCAACGCCACGGAGTTGGTCGCTGTACTTGGAAATTCGCGTGTCTCTCCCGGCAAGCTCTGTACTCTCTCCCCCCACCGCCTTGTCTGTTTGTCCTTGGTTTGTCAGATCGAGGTAGCTGCGGCGGTATACCGTCTAGTGCTCTCAGACCTCAGCCTGGCCGATAGTTTCGGGCAAGTGGACCTTTCATGGCTACCTGTGATCAAGTCAGCTCCCACTGTGGTGCGTGTGGACGACGAGTAGCCAGTTTCGAGCGCATCTTTCATGAATAATAAGGAAGGGAATGGGATTTTCGAATGAGGCACTCCAGCGGCGTAGAATTACAATCAATCGAATCATGCGGAATAACGTGCATGTAGGCATCACAAACCACAGCGAGAGAGTGAGCCATCTTTTCAAACCCATTTTTGCGCCTGCTCAGGTCGCGACAGTCTTACAGGCGGAATCAGATGACGACGAACGAATTGTCGATCTCGAGAAGTATCACTTGGATTGCTCCAACGTGCAAGAAGCCGACGTGAAGGCACTGATCAACAACCGCCGGCTCGCGGTAGTTCTGAATTTGACGGGCTGCAAGTGGTGAGATGGCGTAATGCTGTAGTGAGTAGATAACTCTTCACCGCCTGTATTGCATACACAACCGTGATCCACAACGACTTCTTGAAGACCGCCAATGCGATACGTAAAAAGCTCATCCATTCCGTAGCAAGTTTCCCCAGGTCCAGAGTGTCAGAGTGCGGGGTTTCAAATTCAATTGCGGAAGCTGTCAACATCACATGCATCGGTATAAGAGCCAAACGCGTGTCCATTCGGTGGGTGCTTGTTTTGGGGGGCGGAATAGAGCCGTTCCGCGTCACACGTCCCCTGTTTTAAAAACCAACCATGAATGAACTCTCGCCGTCACCGTGTAAATTAGACACCAAGCGAAGACAGTAATTATGTTCAACATTTTTTCATCGGGCTTGCGCTTGTTGTAGCAGTAGTTGTATCAAATATCCCCTGCGTTGCAGCCAGAATAAAACCGACACCTTGACGCTTGAGAGATTTCTGCCGCTGTCGCCCAGGTTCTGCAGTATCTTTGCGTTGTCATCGTTTAGTTTTTTCTGACAGCCCCAATGTGTCAATGCCGGCCCTAGGGTCACCGACGAGAGTATGGAGCACGTCGCCAAAGTCCTTGTGCACCTTCAAGCTTTCACTGTATCGGGGTGCCAGCTTATTACGGACAAGCATCTCGAAAGAATCATGCGGCGCAACGGAGGGCTGGCCGTTCTCGGTCTGAGTAGGTGTCCAGGCATCGGCTCGCTCGCCCTAGCTTGTATTCCTTCTATCTGCCAGGGCCTGAAAACTGTCGACCTCAGCCACAATGCCAACGTCACGGATGACGTACTCGGTCAATTGGCCAGGTGCTGCCGGAGGCTAGGAACGCTTTATCTCCAATATTGTTCTTTTGTTACAGATGTCGGGGTACAGACGCTTGCGGTGGAAGTAAACCACGAAACCCTCACGTCCTTGGACCTGAGTGGGTGTGTGTTGTTGTCTGATTACAGCATCGTAGCGTTGGGGCAGCTATGCCGGAAGCTACGGCGCCTCAACCTGAAAGCCTTGAACCGGGTGACCGAAGAGGGAGCAAGCAGCGTCACGCGAAATTGCTGGGACATGGAGTACCTGTGCTTGGAGGACATGTACAACCTAATGGACAGCGCGTTCGTGTTCGATTTTTCAGTTGATGGAAGGAGAGCTGTGGAGGCGAACATGCTCACGAGCGTCACCGACATCAACCTTCACGACTGCAACAAGCTCACGGACACCGCAGTGGATCACATAATGAAGCGCGCCTGTCAAATTCAAACCCTTAATTTGGCGGGGTGCTGCAACCTCACCGACACGGCTTGCGCATATATTGTTCAAGACCCAGTGTCAGGGTCAAGGAGGGGAGCCTCTCTTACGTCGCTGAATCTAGGGTATTGCCTGAACATCACCGACAAAGGAGTGGCACGTTTGGTGGCGTCTGCTACGAAACTTCTACACATCAATCTCGCGGGGTGTGTGCAGCTTACAGATGAGGGTGTCTTGACGCTTGTGTCGACGTGTACTAGATTGCAGGAAGTTGTCTTTGCCCAGTGCAAACACCTGACGGACAAAACTCTGTGTTACCTTGCAGACTTTCTGTGGGTGGAAGAGTTGGACATTTCACACTGCAGCAAGGTAACAGACGATGGGATGGAAGTGATTGCGATTGAATTTGCGGGCTTGCGCAGTCTTAACCTCAAACGGTGTAGTCGTCTTACTGAACGCACCCTTGATGTACTCAGCATGTACTGTTCGCATTTGAAGCACGTTGATCTTCGAGATTTGTCGAATTGTGGTGGAAATGCGGTCGATAGGCTCAAGCAAGCACGGCCACAGCTGGAAATCTTGATCTAGGAGGATTTGCGTCAAGGATTTCGACGTAGGAACAGGGGCGGAGGACTGATCGAAACGACATTGTACGCGAGACCAAAGTCAGATGTGTTTCTACAAATAAAGTAACACGGGAAGAACCATTTCTCCCTACTCCACCTAAAACGATGTTGGTTTGTGTACGCTTGTCACATTACTCATGGAAATGCTCAATTTCAAAACGCCAAGGGTTCACAGCCTCCATAGTCAACTGTAGATATTACCTTACATGCCTGGATGTTGTTCGTTTCTTCGTTACGTGGGCGTTCCACCCCACTGCTGTAGTCTACCTACTGTACATTTGTTTTTTTGGTTTTGTCCCGGCATAGACTATGGGGTTGAGAGACAATTGCGAGGGTGAGCAATTGGCGCGCGACTGGGAGCTTTTGCTGGAGGCAGGCGGGGATTCGTGTGGGTCCACATGTCATAGAAGCGCGGGTGGGCAGCGGACTGTGCAATCCCTTTCGCTTGATTTGTGTGTGTGTTATACGTAGAAAAAGTGAACAATCTCTTCGGCAGCATTCGGGATTAAGTTTTCCTTTGCCGTTAGTTCTGCGGGCTTACACTCTTGGGCTATTTGATGAAGCGGTTACTACGGCAGCCTCAACCAACTGGCCGTGTTAATGCTCTCAAGAAAAATAACCTTCATCCGTCGACTGTTGTCGTGCACAAGCAGAGAGAAAAGGGTTTGTGGCTTGACAATTGTGTGAGAATTTTTCTCTCGTTTATTCCCTCTCTCCTGGTGAGCGTACACGGACGACCACGACACGACGGCTGGCGGGCCGTTCCTGCATGTCATGCTAATTTCTTCCATCCAACTTGTACCAATTATCCCTCTCGTCGTCAAAAGGTTAGGGATCAGCACGTTTGCCGAGAAACAAGCTGTTCGGTCACTGTGAAATTTCAAAACGCCAATACGGGATGCGGGTCTTGGCGCCGATCAGCGACACCGCACGGGTCGGGGTCTTGGTACAGGGAGTGCGGGTACAAATGTACAAATCGGGTTCCAAGGTTCCAAGTTCCAAAGTGATTTAATTAGTTATCGCAGGGGTATCGTTCACTTCGCACGTCGATGTGCACAGACCCCGATGCCTTCGATAAGGTTGGGCGATACCGCGAGGTTTCCTGCATTTTTCGTAAAAATGCTGCAGCGGGAGCTTGTATAATGGGCTCCACTGCTGTACTTTGGCACAGTGACGTTGCTCACGTGCAAATGTGAGGTCGTTTAATTACTGGAACATGTCTTGTTGTTTAATGTTACTTTTATCGAAATCAATCAGCAAACGGTATCCATCAACCAAGAACGCGTACAAACCACTCGAGAGGCCAAACGACCACAAATCACTTACCAAAATAGGTAGGATACCGGGCAACAATACGCATACCTGGCCCGGGAGACTGGCAGACCAAATTGTACATACCCCGTAGGCCACTACGTAATTCTTCGTGCGTGGCACCAAACCAAACCTCGCTTCTATCGGCCGTAACCTGTTCTACCGCCAAACTGGTCCCAATTGGTCCACATCAAACCTCTACTGTACTGGCAAACTAAAACACGGTCGCCGTGTTGTGATCCGGTTGTGCACTACCGTACAAGCGAAGTGCTGGTGTGGCCGCTGCGATTTGTTCAGGGTCGCTGTGTCGGAGTTTTGGCACGGGGGATGCCTTCAAAACACCCCACACCGCCGCCTTGTTTCTATTCAGAATCGCACGGATCGGAGTCATCGAACGGGGTGTGCGATTTGCGCTATAAGCCAGACCATCTCATTCATTTTCCGCACTGGTATCAGGCTCTGGGCACGTGCTGTATCAGCGTCTTGGCACCCCTGTGCTAAAAAAATATGAGACTACAAGCATTAACACAGACGACCGCACAGTTTGCCAAGACCCGCATCCTTGGTGGTATAACGTGTAGCCTACATGCCTGGACCACAATGGTAGTATAACACCAGAGGGGTGTTCGAGGCGTAAGAACGGCATACTACTTACGAGGATCGGCTCCGGACATGGCCACAAAGCCCGACGCTGATCGGCCGACCTCACCATGCGCCGTTTGCGGCGGCTCACACGGCGATACAGCACGGGAATCATACTTCCGTTGACCATCTCCTCTCTCGAGAAAGAGCGCACGCTCAGTCCGTTCGACTTGATTGGACGTTCAACCTGTCAACTCCCCTGTCACGCTTGGCACGAAATGAACCGCAAGCAAGGCAGCACGGCATGACAATACCTGCAACAACTCACGCCCGCCACAGGAAGCCCACCAACAGGTTGACCTTGTCAGCTTGAATAGCGAGAAATAGACGAACCAAAGAACATCTACTTCCAATCTTTCTTATAGTCTCCGGCGTCAACGACACCGAATTTCGGCTTTTCTGATGAGGAGGCCATTTCTTGTTTCCATGTCTTCTGAACCTTTGGTTTGTTGCCTCCCTTTTGGAAATCCCTCCATCCTCCGACTCTTTTCTCCCTCCTACGGGCGTCAAACGGAGCAGGAACGAGGCAAAAATGAAAAATGAGAATTTTCCATGCCGACCTGCACCCAATCGACGGTTCAAAATACAACATGCCTACGTAAGTCAGCGCATCCAAAATTGTACTATGCGTAGTACTTCGAAGTATAATCATACATTGCACAGGGAAGGTATGCACGAACCGATTACACAACGGTTCTGCAACGCTATTTTGGCATAAAACATGCACATGCACACGCAACCTAAACCTAAACCTAAACCCCTTAGGACCGACGGTGATGGGCGTGCAACATTCTTCGCTTGGGGCTTCCCAAGAACGTTAACCAGGTAGGATGAATGCGTTTGGTAGTTGTGCCATATCCGGTCTTGTGGCGATGGATACCACATGTATTGTTTTAGCAGAGTATACTCTCGAGAATGGTGTGCTGTTCCCGGGCTGCCGGGCGACTTTCGACAGCCTGCCAACTGTGTACGGCACCCACCAGCGCTTTCATCCTACAGTGTGGCATTCCCGATGACAACGTCCTCTCGACGCGTTCGTCCGCGACAGCGGGAAATTTCACGAAATAATGTTTCCGGCGTATCGCCGTACAAACCTTAACCTTTTCGAGTCCCGCGGACTTATTTTTTTAGTTTTTGGGGCGCAGCATGTTGGATGCAGCCCATGTCTGTACCTTTGCTATGTTGCCGTCACTTCCCTTTCTTCCTCGGGGAGCGCGGACCTTACAACAGGCGTTGTTACAGCTGCCGTCCGCTTTTCTGTGGTCATTGCCCGACTTCATGCGTTCTGTTCCTGTGTCGTGCAGTGTACCAAATACTTGTAGTAGTAGAAATTGAGGGGTGCGCCAACCAGACACGCAGACGAAAGTGTGACATGCCACAAAAGTATGGTATATTGTATGGTATATGTGAGAAGGTAATCTTTGTGTGTAGCCAAACGTTGTATATACCTGGCATCGCAATTAATGAAGTCGCCGGAAGCAAGTGCTGGTTCCTCACAAAACAACGCCAATCGCAATACATGAACCCGACTTGATCTATGTCATGTCATAGATTGAACCACAGCCACGAAACCTCTCCACTCCAGATCCACGCTTGAACGAGTGATGGACGGGTCAACTAGTTTTCCATTATTGGACGTCAGTTCATTCACTACCACGCTGCGTCACGTCACCTCTCACCGTTCTGTTTCTGCCCATGCCTTCTCCCCCTCCACGTTCTTCCGTATCGCATCCTTCTCGGCCTCCTCCTGAGAATGTTCCCTCTTCTTTTGAGCTTGACGGTGTTTTTCTATCTCGCGGCGACGAAGTTCGATTGTGGCAAACTGCATTAACAACCGGAGACGAGGGGAAGAAGCGAGGAGCAACATGTTCGCTCGGAGCAAAACAATTCTCCCCCAAGTACTGTACGCTGCGCGTTTGCTTCAAACGACAACGCGCGAGAGGTCAGGAAGCACATCCACCACCAAACATGCTACTGCAATGCAGATAGTTCAGAGCGACGTACGTTCGAGATGGTACGGATCCCCAAATCTATATGTGAAACTGCAACAGACGCCAGACGTATCTTGGTGCCAACAGCTCAACCTGCACAAGTTCAACTCCAAACGGGAACGGGTCAGATTTCAGTGAACCAAGCAACTGCAAGCATTATCTCAGGACGAGCTCTCATTGTAGACTTACCTCTTTCATGCACGCCTTCTTCTTGTGTGCCTCTTCGCTTCCGAGCTCCTTCGTCAGGTCGGCTAATGCCACGCCTTTGTCAATTTTCTTTTGTCGCTCTTTCGACACACGAGTGCAGACGGCATCGATCGTAGCCGCCATCGTAATGCGGCGATCTTCGTCCAGCAGAAGCTTTGTCCGAGAGGAGAGGAGAGGAGAGGAGAGAAAACACCGCCAAAGAGCAAGTTCGAGAAAGTTACAGTGACATCGCCAACCGACACCATGAGAGTAAATCAGATTCATCTGCTGCAGTAACCATGCGACTATGCGTCAAAACACCATCATCACGAAGCGGCAACACGAGTGAGTGCTGCTGTTGCTGTTGCTGTTGCTGTTGCTTCGGATCCACTTACCATGACTTACTTCAACAATGTGGAAGACCACGACACCTTTCATTTTTGCTACGGACAATGGGCTGCTACATTCATCATGCACCTGGTATGCCTTCTTGACCTCTTCGAATGCGTCACGGGCCTGCGGCATATCGAGCCTCTTGTCCGGGTGCACCAACGTCGACAGCTTTCTGTACCTGTACAACGGCCCAGAGAGAGAGAGAGGCAGAGAGCGGGGTGTGAGAAATCGAGTACTCGCTCGCTCTACGCAGTGGTATGCATAGAACATCCTATGCGTGGGACACCCGGAAGCGCAACCGCAAACACGACCGCTTTATCCTAGGGGAGGAAAGGCATTCCATTAAAAATGATACCAAGTAATTCGAAGTACTGTACAAGAAGAATGACATAAGGCCCGACGTAGACGCACCTCTGCTTGATGTCCTCAACCGTTGCATCTTGGCCGAGTTGGAGCGTTTCAAAGGCGTTCAAGTTTTTCCATTTGTAGTTGTGCTGCAGCAAGCGGTCCATTTGCTCCTTGGGTGTGCCCATGTCCTGGTTGGTGTACTTATCGTGGAGCACACGCTCAACCTTTTTCGCGGGTACGCTCTTTTGTTCTCCCTGAATTTCCGAGAAGAACGATGAGAGAGGGTCGCCGGACGCGGTTCCTTCTCCCGCCTCCACGGCAGCAGCAGCCTTCGCTTCGGCTGCTTCGGCTGCTTCGGCCTTTGCTTTGGCTTTTAAGGCGTCCTTCTTCTTGAGTCGCTCTTCTTCGATGTCCCTCTCGATGGCCGCCTGCCGCCAGCGCTCTCGACGGTCCGTTTCTTGCGCCTCCTTCGCCGCGGCAAGGCTAGACTCCAACCCAGCGTTATTGGGGTCAATCGCGAGACCAGCCTTGGCGAACGACAATAAAGGCAGTTATCGACATCGACATCACTGAGAAAGGGTGCAAGGGTGTAAGGCGTACAGCCGCAGAGTACCATCCAAACATAAGAGATGAGAAAAAAGAGTCCCCGCGTCAAACAAGCGACAAAGTGGTACTGTACACGTCTTGTGTTGTCTTCTGCACGAGGCCCTGAAAATTAAGACAAAATACACTACATGATACCTTGACATACCTTGAACGTTTGGACCGCTCCGTCGAACCGGCCAAGTGCGTGCTGTGCTGCACCGAGGCGGCTGAACGATTTAGACCACTCCGGTGCGAGCTCCATGCACCTCTCTGCATCTTTCAACGCTTTGCTCTTGGCATCTCCCAGCTTGAGATATGCCGCGCTGCGGTTGCTGAAATAAACCTGTGGGTTCAACCGCAAGTACAAGTACCATCACAGAGCGAAGGCACATGTTATCGTTTCTTCGGTTGGTTGAATACATGCACATACAACACTTCATAGACTTGATACTGTACAATTAGCTCGGCGAAGAAGGGGCCGTGCTTGCGAGCTACATGTACACCTACCAGACGCTATGGCAACAGGTATCCTGTGATCCAAATTCCACCATGACCGTTGGGGCACAAAGTCAGCCAGGTGCCACATGTGCGACGAGTGACGACTACAGCAGTACAATAGTACAATAGTACAATAGTGCGCGACAGTAGACGCAGAGATACTATAGTACAGTGGGATTCACACAGTTCCACGCGCCTACATGCACCTCTGTATTTGCCGCTGCCTCATTCTTAGAGGTACGGTAGGTCTGCTTGACCCGTGTTTGAAGAACGCACATGTTTGATGGTCCTTCTCATGCATAACGTCCACGGAACGAGACACCAAACAAAACTTGGAGGCAACGCTTGGCGGAGCAACTAAACTGGGATGAGAAAACTTCCTGCGTCAGAAACGGGGGCGACGTGACAAAGAAGGAGACACCAAGAGCAATAAAAATATCTCCGAAAATCGAAAGACCGGTCTAGATTAGATCCAAACAGATTCTAGTTTCACCAAAACAAATACAATAGTGCTGCAATGCCGTTGTTGGGAAAACAAGCCGTGCGAGAGGCGCCAGCATCCAACGTCCCGTTCCGCACCTTGTTGTCGGGGTCGATATCGATCGCCCTTGTGTACCCTTCTATCGCTTCTTTCCACTTGCCGGTCTTGAAAGCCTCGTTGCCTGGACATCATAAAGGGTTCGATGAGTTACAAAACGCTCAAGACTGACAGCAAAACTTCGCGTGCCAGGTTTGCATATCCGTCGGATTTGTTGTAGAAAGATTGGTACGGTCACTTTTCCGCGCAACCGAAAATACGAGACAGGGATGTTTAGCACCGTACATGCGCATGTACGCGTCATCGGTACAACCCACAGCATCAAGTTAGCTGCGAAGAAACTACGGTTTTTAATGCCTCTTCTGTTGTCTGCGTGCGGCGGCGGTGAGCCTGGCCGGCAAGATCCTGGCTTACAGAATATTCAGGCAAAGTAAGGGATGTGAAGTTGTGTGTGTTTTTCTTACTAGCATCGACCGCGCTAACTGGCTGACGAATGAAAAAACGTCAGTCTCAGTGCGGTTGAAAACGCAAAATGCCTCTAAAGTCCACGATCTGGGCTCCAGTGTGGGGAGCGTCATGGGGGAGTCAATGCTACTCTCCAGATTAAAGACAGATACCGTAGCAACAACAGGAATACTGCACGTGTTTACCATAGCTGCTACTACTTTGGACGCGCGTTTGTTTCTGGTTGCGTGTGTGTGTCCCTTCCATCTACTCTACTCTAGGCGCCAGACTACAGTACACCTTCTGGCTACTTGTCTGACGCATCAGCCGGGGTCGCACAGGAGCAAGAGGAAGGTGAACAGTTAACACTGGCGCTACGTAATTCTCTCCACCTTTCCCACTGGGGTGGTTGCCTTCAGTATTTAACGAGAGAAGGGTTCAGCACTTTCTTCCCTTACGTTGGGGAAACTTTCGACTGAAGCGATTTGTTCACTCCAGAGATATTCGACCCCACAACCTAGAGAGGTATACGGTGAAGAGGTCGCCGACGGACCATCGGAGCGATAGGAATGTAAGGGTGTCTTGTTTTGTTTGCTGCTGTTGGTGTTGCTGCTGCTGATGCTCTCTCATCTACAAATCTACCGCCCGTCCTTTCCTAGTTGAGCTCGGTAGGCCGACTTTCATGCACCGCAAAGCCCAATTGTTGGGACTCTCAAACTACACGAGACAGAGACACTCCCCCGAAAGCATTTGCTGTTTTGACTCTCCACATCGCCGCCCACATCAACTGCGTCCATAGCAATCGTTTGACCCTACTGATTTGGTACATGACAGGTGTCGCGTGCCCAGCAACGAGCAGCAGGAAGCCTCGAACAACCGATCGTGATCAATGTACGAGCTGCAACTCGAATTTCGATCGGTCAAAACGGATCATTTACGGAGAGGTGGTTCATGTACGTAGGTTGGCCGCTCCAGTCCTCTCTCCATGAATAGATGCCACCTGCCCCCCCCGGCTCCCCCGCCCGATGTTTACCAATGGGATTGGGTTTTCGTCGCTTGGCAACGACGTTGTAAAACAAGCCGATCACTTCGTGAGCTCGGCAACCAGGTTACCGCTTTTTTTTTGCCTCTGTTTTTTTTTGGCGGTAATTATAATGGTGGTCGAGTAGATTTTGTTGTGCGGGGTCGAGAACCCTCACTCCGCGCAAAGGGGATGATCGCACCACGTCGTGTTAAATTGTTCACGCACCCTCGAGGAAGCTACACAGTGCTCATAACTGTTTCTGGAAGTGATAGATAGCACCAGAACAAAATTAAGCTGTCATCCGTACGAAAGGAAGTAAGCACAAGATGCCGAACACCCTTAGCAGGATGCAGCGTACCCTTCATGCGGCTCGCCGAATACCTCACGGTGCTTCGCGCTTGGTGATGTGAGGGCCTGGTCCGGTGAGAACCCGGCGTGCTCCGTCCCGGCTTTGTAGGGATGCGAGGGCAAAGGTCTAACGACTACGGCATGCACGACTATGAGTACCCCCCCCCGCCCCCCCCTACAACCAGATTTTTCTCGAGTGAAACTGGTATGTTGAACAAATCGCTGTAGGTATCCAGCCTTGCAACTCGCCAATGGAGCGGACGCTTTTAATCCATCCAGAAAGGGGTGGTAATTTGGGCTGTAAAACTGCATTTCGCGTGAAAAAAATCGATTCGTGTCGAAAAGCTCCTCCGGTTCATGAACAGAGTGCTTGGTCGGGTGAAGTCACGGAGCCACCAACCGCCAAGGGGCCCTCCCGCTGGAACCCATGGACACCCCCCAGTCTGGGCATCAACTTTGGTCAGGGGGGGGGAGGGATCTTCCATGGTTACCACTAGGAGGGCCCCTTGCAACCACCCCAGGTTCTCACATGAAGCCCCCCCCGGGTTCAAATGGGGAGGCGTTGAATCCTGACATGCTGAGTCCAACGCGACCTTACAGAACTATGAAAGCTGGACACATGCTCAGTGGGATGTGGATGCCTTCGGGGGGTCCAAACGGCCAAATGATGCATCCAAACGAAGCCCTCGGATACTAGAAAACATCAATTTTTTCTCGTGCCTAATCTGTGTAAGGTGGCTCACTGCTTTCCGGCGACTAAAAGACTGATCCAGTACAAAAATGTGAGCCAAATGACAATAGTTTTCGCCAACTTGTTTCAGCACATCCCCTCGACTGCTCTTGTGTTGTTGTAACGGGCACTCTTTCGGTCATTGCATGCATATTTCATACTTCGAGGTATTTCCTAAATTTATTGTTAATGAGCCGCGGAGCGCGAAGCGCGACCTTTTTTCCCTTCATTCCCAGGAGGAAAAAAAAGGCTCTATATATCGGCCTATTCCGCCGCACGATACAGGGGCCCAAAGTTTGATTTCTGGGAAGCCTATTTAGCACACCTTTGGGACCAGAACGAGATCTATATGGCACTGATTGACGATCTGTTCGCTTCTGAGGAAGAAGAAAAAAAGCGCGCTCTTCTCCACACCGGTTTCGTCGTGCTCCGACAGCGGATGGTCGTGCTTCACCGGCATATGTAGCCTAAATTCGTAGGAGATCTTGCTCCGCAACCCCGGGGTTTCTACGCGAAAAGGCGTGCACAAAATCGGAGATCGCGCGCGCGCGCGATTGAAACCTGGAGAAGACACAGAGACAGACAAAGACAACAACACCTCCAAAAATCACATCACCGCTGGGACGCTGATCCGAGACCAGCTACCTATGAAAACCAGGAGGGGCCGGGCCTATACGAGACCTGTGCGCCGTGGATATAGTCATGCGCCATGTGTAACCTGGCGGGTGTTTATGGACTTTGAGTGGTCCAACCGACTGCTACAAAAACAGCAGCAGACCGATGATCACAAACGAACACACAACAGAACACACATTCCCATGTCCAGAGATCGCACCTACCATCGAGAGAAACCGTCGAGGGCGTGAGGGTCTACTGCTGCTGTGCGTGATCAGGATGGTTCCCCGCGGGATCTGTTCAGGTTGCGTACTTGCGCCGCGCTAAATACCGACTTGTCTTCGCAAAAGCCGTGCCCTGCCTGCTGTTGCTGCTGGTGGGTCTCTCGCATCAAAGCCATGACCATCAACGGCTTTGTTGTTTTTGGTTCATGCTGTACAGCAGTAGTTATGTCCCGTGATGTATGATACATTTTTTTTTTTTTAAATCCCATCATTGGACTCTGCCGTCTGCCCCTCTGGCCCCCATCCTCCACTTTTACTAGTTAGACGACCCAACCGGGGTCACATAGGACGGGGGGGTTGCACCTCCTCCTGCGGTTCCTGCCTGAGATATTTTTATCGCGATAAGGGTACAGCAATCCCTTCCCTCGCGACTTATGAAGTCGATCTAGTTTACTAACAACGAGCTTTGCAGCGCATCGCTTCCAACTTAGACCAGGATTTATTTAGTGTGGAAGAGAACTTTGCCGGGACTCGAACCCATAACCTGGCCCTTAGAAGGCTGCGAGGGTACCCACTAGACCACCGGGGCGACCGGAGTATTATGTAGACTGCTTGCTTCGCTTGGCAAGAAACTCGGAAAACTTTTGAGACGAATGTGGCGGGCAAGTTGTGAGCCTGACGCAATATTTGCCATCTGTCTTGTCACAATCCTATGTCTACGCTGCTGGTCGTGCTCCTCGACGGTGTGATGTGTAATACGCTCGCCGCCAGGTATATGCCGCATGCGTGCCTCTTCCAGATGCCCAGATGTGCGTGTTTGCGTCCGCACAGCGGGAAGACTTCACATTTTGTTTCTTCATGGGCGTGCGCATGGTGCATCGACGAAAAGAAACAACCGCATGTAAAGTGCAAAATTTTGAACGGGGGCCGCACATAAAAACATCGTCGCGCCCGTCGCACCCCTGCAGCCTGTCCCTCTGGTGCACGCGTAGCTGCACCACAAACGATTCACGCTGCTGTGTGTCGGGATTCGTGCACCATCAGCATCGCAGATAAGACTACTGCAGGGTATTGAGTCGCTACCCCGCCGCTCATTACCCCGCCCTATCTAGTACTGGTGTTGGTCTTGTTTGTCTAAAATATCTCCCTCTCAACGATATACATTCTCTGTTGTGAAGAGTTACGGCAGCGCACAGATATGTAGTTTTGTATGTAGCCCTGTATGTACGCAGCAGCAGCCTACGAAGGGCACTCCGACGCCCACGCCTCCGAAGCGAACGGCGTCAAAGATGGCCAATGCTACGAAGAAGGTACGAAGAACGTATTTCAGCCAAGAGAGACTCATGCCCTACCGTGCCTTCTCGAGCAACGTATTACCGTAAGGTTGAGAGTCAGCGCACGGGGTGCGAGCGATTTTGAAAGAGTAATTTCTCCACAACCAGGAGGTTAGAATACCACTGCTGCTGTCGAAAAGGGCGGTTTTGGAAATATCTCATCGAGAGCTTTCCTGAGAAGTATTGTATCAGTTGGTGCTCGCACTCTTCTGGTTGTGGAGAAATTAGGCTTTGAAAAACCATCGCACCCCTTTGTGCGCTGACTCGCAACCTTACGGTAATATGTGCAATGGGGAAACGTTTATTGCGCCGCAGGACAGTTTTGTCGTTGACCCAGTAGAGAACTACAGGGGATGTATTGTAAAATGTAGGTTACCTGTACACAGGTGTTTTTATTAGCACCAGCTATGCGTATCACTGATATCATGAGTGTTAGACTTAAATAGACCTTTCGACTGAGGTTATATCTCGAACGGGTAGTCTTTCTGTGAGGTCATGTTTGTTTACTTTCAATTAATTTACTATGTTTACTTTCTACGAAATAAGTCCAGTACCCAGCCGGTTTTCCTCCACTCACTGAAAAGACTCCACCACATCCCGTTCGACTGTGGTTATATCTCGAACCGGTAGTCTTTCTGTGGGTGTCATTTTTCCTATGTAACCAAGACAACACAGCGACGGCAGAGGTATACTACTGCTGTACATGTACTTCTTTATTGTATCATAAATGTATATTTAGTCTTTGGAAGATTACCAAAAGGTATTCATCATATGGGAAGATATTTTGTGATCTGATCTGTTATTAAACTCTAGTGACAGCAGTCTGTTCCTCGTCCTTCGACCAACTGGTGGAGTCGGTGTCCCAGGAGGCGTCCTTGTAGCTTTAGATCAAGACTCGGCCTTCAGTCGTCCATGAGTTTTATTCGATGTATGCGTACAGCAGTACTGTACACACAAGATGTATGCCGTGCTAGGGAGGGACCAAACCTTCATTTTTGAACGCTTCAGCTTGAATTTTCCAATCCTCCTCTTCTTGCGCATCCTGGCCATGTTTCTCCTCTGCTGCTCCAGCATCAGCCATATCCTCGATCGGTGGTTAACCTGCGCCCTAAGAACCCTCGCTTGCAAGATGTTGGGCGACGTTGCGGCAGTGCGGCGATGGAACACAACACAACAGACAAGACACAAGACACGGGGACGAGGGGCACACAACGACCGGACCCGTCTCGGTTGAGGGGGGGACCCTATGAATGACCCCCCCGCTCCCCCGCTATGTAACCGCCGACGGAACTGTGAAGCTCGACCACCTTATCGCATCGTCAACGTCACCGTTCGTAAAAACACACTTGTCTACTTGTCTAGGCGGCGACACGTGCGTACCTTGTACCCACGGGCCTGATGGATATCGGATCAAGTGGCTGGATGAGACATGTTGATCAGATCGGCCGGCAGATGGAGGAAAAGCTGAGTTTGGAGGGGACCGTAGTCGTTCAGAGAGCGAGCGAGCTGCAAGCGGAAGCGCAGAAGGTGATGTGCTAACTACACGTAGTATTTGTACCACATCTATCACGGAAATATCATAAAGGCGGCACAATGTGGTTTTCCGTATGTTGGTCTTTTTGATCCGCAAACCCTCATGCGGTGCAAACCATGGACACATGTACTACTGCTGTACTTCGAAGGAATATTTCACAGCACCTGCCGGCAGAGACTTCCAGCCTAAAGTAGTCTACTATGTAGAATGCAGATGTAATAAACGACATGTTCAGCAGACTATGTTACATTGTACACGATGTAGTCATGCACGGTCACACACCATCATGAAGCCACTTGTACAGAGAAATATTTTTGTGTAAGCCTAGATCGAAACTCTTCAACGAAGGAAAAACGGGCAAAGGAAGCTACAAGTCTTAAGTAGTCTAGATACACGTAGGTTCATCAGCTAAACGCGTTTCCGCCGTATTTTCTCGCCCTCCAACACCATGCCCCTCAGCTGGCTCGGCAACGTGCCTTCCTACGAGAAGAACGGCGACGAGCTCGCATGTGAGCTGCCCATTTTTCCTTCAGATTTCATTCTGAAAGTGTGCCGGAAGGTACATAGATCGGGTACTGTATGTATGCATGTGTATTTGGTGAGCTTGTGCCGAGGCAAAAGTTATCTAATAAAGTAGGTGCGAGGCGTTGATTGCAATGAGATGCGGAGTGTTGTGGTCTACTGCTGTCTACGATGTTTTTCAGTGTCCCTCAGGAGTGCTTTTCGTACACTGACCATTCCTCTCAGGGATGAGGAGGTGCTTCGGCTGGAAAAAGCCGACTTGAGCATGACGAAAGATGACGAGTGGATTCCAGCGGAGTGCCTTGTACACCACTCCGAGAAGAGAGTCAGACTTAATGTTGGCGGACAGGTGTGAAATATTGAATTCGGAATCTGCACTACTTGCTTTCCGTAGGGAATAAACCTTCCTCGAACGCCCAGTTTTCTGACACTGACACTAGACTAGTTATGTATAAGTAGGACATTTGGAACCATGAAATAATTACGTCGATAGAAGGTTCGCCGTGTGGCAACATGTTGAATTCAGCGTATGTTTCAGCTTCAAGACACACAGGAACTTCGTGCAGCGTTCCAAACCCAATTCTTTGAAGAAAGTCTCCGCATGTAGGCATACGTGAGCTGCGGCATGTGTGTGGATATGTTGCTCGAGGTGAAATCCGACCTTGGATCCGATCGCCAATTTCAATAGGGCTTGGAATGGCTTGCTCACCGAAAGTTAATCGTCTTGTTAGATGTGCAGAGCCGGAGCCTCTGTAGTGAATGTTTGGGTTGAGCGCGAGGCCCCATTCTCCGGGCAATGCAGTATGAATATGCCGGCCTTCCACTGAGGACAATCGGCCGAACATCTACGATGGACCGAAAAATGGACCACGTGCGTGACTATGCAACATCTTTGCAAGATCTCGATCTTGTTTTATGCAATTCCACAACAAATTTGCCGTTGGAATCTTGTATATTTTTCTGGCGCCTATCTCTGTCGTCCTGATGTCTAGCAAAACTCTAATGCCAGTACAAGTAGTACACTTGGGAGCCCACCGCCCTGTATCAGCACGATACGCGGTATCTCAAACAACATGTGCACGTGTTGATTCTCGTTGGCTAAAAACCAAATGAACGCCAGTGGGGGGGGAAGGTGGTTACTGCATGGAGGGGATGAACGACTCGGCCGGTTCCGTAGCGCACCTGGGCACATGCTTACTTCCATGGGTTTTACGTTGAGAAAACTATAATAACTGCACCTGGGAAATTACGATGAATCAATGAAGCCCCGCAGCTCGGCAAACCAGCAAAGTTTCGCTACAAAAAACGAATTCATCTTTCTGTCGCATTGCGGGCAAACGTAGCAACGACTTGGTTTCCTCCACGTCCTGCGCCAGCACCATGTATGGTGCAACGACGATCGGACCCCTTTCGAAGATCTCATGAGTGGACCGAGGCCCAGCAAATACGTATTGATCGGTTGAGGGCCTGGCTGCGGTTTGTCTCACGAACAGCCCCTGGGTAGGTACAAGGCGTTTTCTTTGACCATCAAGTTCGCTTTCTCATGCCAAAGCTGCTATTTTTCCTTTGTCATTTTGATTGTTCGTGCTTCCTCCCATGGGCTCCCCCATTCCCGCTATTGCCGTAGCTTTTCGAGGCGTCGACAGCTGTCCTTCGACGAGATCCTGCTTGTCTTTTGGCCGCTCTCTGCCACGACGGCGGACCGCTGAGAGCGGACCTTGGCGGTACCATCAACGTTGATAGAGACTGGTGAGCTGAGGTACTCCGAGGATCTCAACCGTGTGGAAAAACATGTTTAGCTCGAAGCGTGTGAACGGTTTGTCAAGGTTGGTACCGCAAGCTTAGTGGCCAGACTGGGTGACGTCTTTTGGGAAAGGTGCTCATATCCAACCGGACACAGTAGTGTTAGTATGCATCAATGGTTTCCACGCCACCTATGTTGAAATACAGCGCATTACTCGTGTGGGATGTGTGTAGCAATACAGGTGCAGCTGTATGCTTGCTATATGCAATGATGCGGTGTGATGTATCTTTTGGCAGAGCATAGCATGTAGCGACGAGTATTGCGAGGAGCTCGTGAATTAATTGATTGTTGATCGTAGGCATTGTACTTATAGCGAGATCACGAGGTGTCGAGAGCGCCATCAGGCTCACTCCCAACTACCAACATCTCACCTGCAAGAAGTCTGTGAAGTGAACAAGACTGAAAACAAGTACAAGTCCCAGAAGCGGCATTAGCAACAACATCGATATCGGTCACTGCCTCAACAGACTTCGGTCCGATTAGACTCCGGTCTAACCATTATTGCACAGACTTCTGTCTGGAACTGCACAAAGACTTAACCGCCTGCAGACGACCCTTGGGTACAGGGCACCTGGACACTACACACTCCTACAAACTACTCCGATTGAATGGCACCTCTCTGCATGAGGTTTGGAGTAATTTATCTGCCCTACGTGCTTCGCAGTGGAACGAACTTTGCATAGGTTTCAATTGCTATGCTGATCTCAACCGGTGTAAGTCGTACGCGATTCCACCTTTCCGCATGAAGGAGTTACAATAATGGTTTTGCAGCTGTTCTCAAGAACACCGATGCGCTGTTCTACAGGCATGCCCACATAATGTGGAGGTATCATTTTTCGTGTGCGGATACGCATTGGAAGTGTCTGGCATGGGTGTTTCCCGTGACCTCGGTCATTTTTGTTGTTCTGGGAATGCATTCCCTCTATCGCAGGTGGATGTTTCGGTATATCATCAAGTTCCTGCGGGACGGAATTCTACCTACTGACACGACCCTGCTGACTCAGGTAAGAGCGTCCGAAGTGTCTTACGATCAGTTCCGGGGCTGTGGGTTTCCCGGAGAATGCGTACACCCCTCAACGAGTTGAGATATCCTGTCCACTCCAATAGCGTGTGTTTGGTTGGTTTTATTTCTCCGTCGCGCACGAGATCTGACTACTATATATGCGCAGGAATTGGGGTAGCATATCAATCAGAAGAATACATGTAGGCTATTTCTGGTTCGACAAGACGCTAGAAAATCTCAACATGGCCTCTGAGGGCTATTGTTGTCCGCCCCTGACTGCCACGAGGTGACGCTATCGCAAACAGGACAGAACACTTTATTCCGTCCATGTGCTGTCAACAGCATCCTCCTTGCCTCAGTTGTCCAACATGAGTCACTGCAGATAACAGTTCGGTCGTATTTGTAGCCACCATCGGTGTCTCAAAGTTCTCAACTCCTGATCGGCACGGACCCCCTCTCCCCGACAAACGACCCAAGTGGGAGGACCTCCTTGACTGGGGCCTGTATGTATTTATGCGGCTGTTTTTCAATGCCAAGATGCTCGCCCGCGTAGAGACTTATCGCGCAACTATCTCGATATTCGTGCTGAAAGGGCCACACGCCAGTCCGAAATGGTTGAACCTGAGTGTGCGTGCGGCGCAAGAAATGGCGCCGTACTTTTGGACGGGTAGAGTTTCTCCCATTTTTTGTAAATGGAGGAACCCAACTTGGTCGTGTGCTGTCGGTAAAATGGTAATATGTGGCAGATAGAATGTACTAAAATACTTCACGAAGCGTGCTTCACGAGAAGATAAGTCTAGACCATTGGCCTATGCTCATTTTGTATTGAAAGCGGAACACGCCACAGCGTACGCAATATTAAGATCAAGTGCAAATTCAACCACATATCGAACAATTACATGGTACCCTGCAAATAGACGTCTCTCTATTTTTTCGAAAACGAAAATGATTTTGTTTCTATTAGGGCTTAGGCTTAGCGGAAGACGCGGGCGAGCAAATCAGAATACAACCGTTTTGCTGTGCCTCAGGTGACCGCCCTCGTCAGTAGTTGCCCCTGAACCTCAAAATACACGTCATCATCAGTTGATACTCTTGTATACTTTGTGCGCGTTACGTGAGCAGCTCTATCGTGAAGCTGGATACTGGCGTTGCGAATCATTGAAGCGCGCCATCGAGGAGCAGATGCACTTGTACCGCTCCTCGCTTGGAGTTGGTGCTAGCGGTGGTGCACAAGACAAAACGAAGGACACAGAGGTACGTCCAACGCCTGGTTGGCGAGAAGAATCTCTTGCGTAAGAAATCTTAACCGGTTGCATTTGCTGCGTGTTTAAATATCCAATTGCTCCGGAACAGAATGTTGCGCCAGTGTCTTGTTGTTGGCCGCATGCTCCCAGCAGGAATATGTTTCAATTGCAATGGGCAAACAGTTCTTTCACCAGAATGTTAGCCTAGGTATGAATTATCCGAAACGACCATCTCGTGGCCAGACCTAGGCCGCAAGGTTTTGAAATGGGAGAACAGGATCGAAAGTTTAGACGGGGAGCGGCAAGGTTAGACGGCTCCGTAGACGCTTGTCTACCACATAATCGCTTGCATCAAGAACCCAACAGCTGGTACTCGAGCATCCTCGGTGACGGCCATGACGCTCTGAGGGCGCTGATGGCTGCCAGAACTAAGTCAGACGTTTGATTGAAACACGTTGGTCTTTGCAGAGCATGCGTCCTGCCACTCGTAACAGCAGTACCGGAAGTATGCTCGAGCCATGAGTGGACGCCGTTCCGACACATATTTCACTCCGTTACTTACACTCCAGCATGGACACACTTTCATGCTGCCTGCCATCCATAGCCGCTTCTCTCATCTGGTGGCGGGTGGGATGGCTATGGGGTGATTTTATCATAAGCTAGAGATGTTCTCGCCATCGTCTTGATTGTGGTCGAAGAAGCACTTTGCTTTCAAGTACACCCGAACACTAGATAGCGAACTGCTTAGAAAGAGCTCAGTCGTGCGCGCGATGCCTCTAGCTCTTCGTCGAACCACTCCGTGTGCAACCCACTTGCACCCGAAGTACACCATCGAGCGCAGCTGACGGTACCGAATGGAGTAGACTTCATGAGCACGAAAATAGGGGGATGTGTTTAGGTTTAGGCACTCGTCGTTATGAAATTTGGTTGGGTTGCGGACTGAGTGAACGATTCGTGTCGAACAACGTGAATATTGAGGGGAAGAGGAAACACACCGCACATCGAAAGATCCTCAATGCCAAAAATCGGTAGTTCGACAGCAGACCCGTGTGATCAATGGGGAACTATTCTTTTTTTTTCATGTCAACGTGGAGTCCCCCCAAAAAAGGATGTTTCAATAACAGCAGTGTACACCTCTGAGGTGCTCCAATAGTTCGCAGACTGCCTTTGCCGAAGACATAGTTCTCAAATAGAATGGGCATAACGAACTTCTCGCCCCTCATATGCCCCCGGTTGCGCAGGCATGGTGGCGCAATCCGTCGACCAAATGGAGCGAGGTGAAGGCAAGTCGCCCTGCTTTGGCTTCAATGTAGGCTGTTGAAATAATGCCACGCGAACGTTCGTTTTTCGCAGGAGCATGGCGTGGTATCACTAACCACCACCCTCAACATACGACGTCCCACCCGCTACAACCTGGCGCAGGTCGACTGAGGAGCACCGATTGAATGCCGTACCTCGCATTGCCAGCTGGATATCTCACGCATCCAACCTATTCGCTCGTGCAATCTAAACAATTTCATGGGTTACAGGCGCATGCTCTTGTTTTGGTGGGGCAAAGTACTTCCCTTTTCGCTCGTGTCATCTAAATAAACAGTATCATGGGTTACAAGCCAATGCTCTTGTTTTGGTGGGGCGAATTACTTCCTTGGATGAGCATATGTTCTTAGATCGCGATGGACAGTATGTAATTTTGCCAACTCTGTGGGATATTTTTGTCACCAGGTGGAGAAACCACCGGTGAAGGAACCCGAGAAGCCGAAAGAGACAACGGACAAGGATGATTGGTGGACGGGGGCAAACTACAACGGAAGAAAGTACACTGCTGTTCAAAATGAGGTATCTGCATAAACGTAGGAGTTAGACTTTGCATAGGGTATTGCCCATTTATTCCAATCTCAGCTTTTGGGAGCGCTCATTGCAAGTGTTTTTTGTTATTGGGAAGCACAAGAGGTTCCAAGTTCCAACCTTCCACATCGAAGCTGTTGCCATTGATGAGAACTCAGTCCCAGCTTCTTAATGTGCAGGTCATCTGTTGGTGCAGGTAACATCATCTGCGGCGAGTCAAGACATCCAATTGGCGACGTCCACGACGTGGACGACAGGGGACGATAATGGTCCTCTGTGAATTTGACAGAGTACAGAGTCCTGAAACCAGATAGTTTACTGCTGTAGCAGTGGTCCCAATTTTGGGAAAAGGCGTGTCTAAATCCCCCCCCGGGGGGGGATTAGTGTCTAACCCCCCCCGGCTGTATCTCTGCCCCACAAGGCACCAATCGAGGCAGGACATGCACGACTGTGTTGCTGTGTTGTGGGACTATCGCGAGATCCATCGTACAGCCGAAACGGTTTTGGTGCAGCTATGGCTGATGGCAAATATATATCTGTTGCCCCAACCTGCCCCATGGGGTACATAGCCTTGAATACCCCACCAGCTGCATGTTGCCCTACAAGGCTCCAATAGACTGACAAACAACCGGTGAAGTGTGTGGAACATGCCGCACAGCACACAGCAGCGGGCAGCAGGTGAGGCGACCAGCACAACAAGCCCACAGCTTTACACACACACATTGGGAACCGGACACTGCCTTCTCATTGGTGGGGTACAATAGCCTTACTTACCAGCGGCATGCCGTCATACAAGACTTGAGTCTACACAGGATATGCTCAACTTTGTTGCTGCGCTGTAGGGCTACCGTATATGACCCATCGTTAAGTCCAAGGGTTTCCGTTCAGGTGGTACCACGGCCGGTGGGGTAAACTACGGATGTGCCCCTACGGGGGGGGGGGGGGGGGGGGGGGGTTAAAAACCCCCCCCTGGGCCCCCCACCCCTTTTTCAGGGTCCCAAGGGCCCCCAAAAAACCTACCTACAAAAATGTTAAAAATAAGGCAAAGGAAAAAAAAGGAAAAAACAACCCTGGCCCCCTGGTTTGTGGGGACCCCTTTTGTTCCCCTCCGGGGAAAAACACCCCTTTCTTTTGGCCCCCCCCCCCAAAAAAAAAACGAAAAAAAAACCCCAAAAAACCTAAAACAAACCCAAACAAAAGGAAAGGGAAACTTTTTAAAAAAAAGGGAAGAACGTATTTTTTCCCCCCCCCAAAAATTTGGCCCCCCGGCCTCCCCTC